GTTGCACAAAACATATTATCAAGATGTCTGTGTATGTGCTTCGAGTGCATTTTATCCGGGTTTTCAACTCGACAACCAGAGAAGCTAGAGAGCTGAAATTTTAGTAGATTGTTCCCTGCTGACATGCAACCTCGGAAGCTTACATTCATTCTTCGTATACCTCCGGGTATCGCGTACGACCCCGCGGAAATTTTAACGGGGAGAAATATTATTTCGGAAATACGAAAGTTGGGTAGCTGAAATTTTAGTAGAATGTCCCTCGCTCACATTCGACACAGTAAATTTCAGTCCAGCCTTGCCGTTTGCCTGGATACTACGTACGGTTCCATGAAAGTTTCGACAGAGGAAATTACTACTTCGGGAACTACGATAGCTAGGAGACTGAAATTTTAGAGCAATGTCCCTGCATATCTGCGACACCAAAAATTTAAATTCTAGCCTTCCCATTCGACTGGATATCACGTACAACCTTGTGAAAGTTTCGGCAGGGGAAATTACTGTTTCGAGAACCAAAGAAGCTAGGAAGCTGCAATTTCAGGATAATGTCCCCTGCTCGCAATTTCGAATTCATCTTGCACGTAAGCCTGGGTCCCATGCACAGCACCGTGAAAATTTTGGCGGGAGAATTATTATTTTGGGGGCGAGAAGAACTGGAAATCTGAAAACTTCTAAATGTTTTTTGCTCATGCAGAGGCGTAATAAACTCAAACTTAGCTGCCAAGTATGGCGAGGTTTCACGTACGACCATGTAAAAGTTTTGACGCGAAGGTTACCAGGGGTTAAACCAGAACCATGGGGTTGAAATTATGGAACAGTCTTCGGCATCCAAGGTGTCAAATTCAGCTTTTACGTGCGGGCGCGTGAAATGTCTAACAGGAAATTTCGCGGCTTGGGAGCCAGCATATCGACTATTTTTTCACAGATTAAAGTGTAAAACAGTGAAAATCCTTGGAAGGCGGACGGTCGCTGGTCGAAACTGTCCAAAATGCATAACCACATCGACTAGCCTGGTGCGCGTCGGTATTTATTTTTTCTGATCCACATTACTTTAGTAAGGTTCTCCACGCCAGCGTGAAGTGAGAGTATGTCACTAACGCTTGCCATGCATTTTTTCGCAGTGCATT